GTTTGTTGAACTTACTTACCACTTCTGAGGAGCGTAACCTTGAGTTGTCCATTTCTTCACTGTATAAAATGTTAAGAAGGTAAAATGCAAACATAAGCCCACCATCTAGTAGTTTTAATGAAACAAAAACATGGTATTGCTGTGTGCAGAGTTTTCTGTTAACCATCAGTGAATCTGCCCCTGAGTGAGCGCAGGGCTATGGACCCAGGGACGTACCCATGCGACTTTCTATAGAATGTTTTCACTCGAAGTCACGCCAGCCAAAACAATGAAGCGGTGGCCATGTTGGCATACCAAGCCAATCCTATGAGTTTCGAGCAAATTTGCGAACCTGTTGGCCACGTGAGTGAAAACGCTCTATGATTCTCTTTTACTGTCTTCAACTTATTGAAAGTTATGTATTTGTTAGATATTTAGTTTCTACAGCAACTGAAGGGCAGAGGGTAGGTAATCACCTGGGGGTTGTGTATCAGAAGTTTTGTTTTACACCATAGATCCTAGAACAACACCAACAACAACACTAATGATAGTGATAATAATAATAATAATAATAATAATAACAACAACAACAACAATAGCATAACAATATAACTAGCTTTCTTTAAGGTCCTCTTGCAAAGCGGGTTGTATGCATATATAAGAAATTTCCAGCGGGCCAAACGCCTTAAAGATTGTTTTTGTTTAGAAAAATATTTATTAAATGGCAAGGAAGTTCAAAGGGAGAGACTTAAATTTTCAAACAAATGGGTTATGACCCGGTAACCTGTGGTCATAGAATCCGAAAAAGCTAGACATTTTGCAACAGCAATACAGTACTCATTGACATGTTCTAGTAAACCTATATCACAACTGAGTTCTACTTACCTGACAACAGCTTCTGTTACTGTTACAGAAATGATACCATACTTTCTGGAGAAAAAAAGGGGTTTGCCATCGCATACACCTAGATTATACAAAAACATTAATCTGACCTGCTTCACAGCTTTGTACGATTTTTTGGGTTATGTTTAAAACACTATCTTAATGTTATTTGACTTTTCCTAACCTAACGAATTCCTCAAAAGGAGAACGGATAGTTCAGGATTTAGAAGATTGAAAAGTATACAAAAAAACCCAGCTCCTTGAACTTGGCAAATCTTAAGACAAGATTCCATAACTGGATCTAAGGACCTCTAAAAAGAGACAACACAGTGGCATATGGGCAGAAAAAGGCATCACAAGGACAGAGGGATTCCATCTGACTGAATTAACCGACCAAGTGTAAAACACGTATCCATACCTGAACCCAAAATTCCATCTGGAGGAGACTGTAGATCAATCTTGTTTAGTAGTTCATCGCTTCGGTGAACTGAAAACAAAGACTTGTGAATTAATTGTAGAAATGACTGTTACAAGTAAGTTCACTCAACAGGACGGCAGGAAGAAGAAGACGACAAATGCTTACGAGTGACAAACGTGACAGGGTTATTACTTGCTTGTTTTGTCGTGATCTTCACTTAACCTTAATGTTTTTTGGTCTTTTATAAAAAGAACTGTTTAAAGGAAGGTGAAGTTTGGCGAAAATTATTGTCACGCTTGTCAAACAAGGTTAACCGTCTTCTTTCCTCTCCCAAGATCAGAGGGCGGCGACGACGGCAAAAATGTCGCCTAAAAATTGAGTTCTCGTTCATCGCGATTTATTCCAACTCACTTAATTTGTTAAATGTAGGCAAACTCTCATGGAATTCAATATAGAACCATATCCAAGTTCAGAAAAAGAAAGAAAATTTCCTTGCGACCATTTATTCATGTCCCCTATAAAACGTGAAATTAAGCATTTTCACGTTGTAGTCGTGCAGTGACGGAAAAGAAATACAAAAACTTTGGCGCACGTGCAAAGTTGTAAATTTGCCTATCCAACCTATTGCTCTTTTATGTCCTTGTTGCCGCCCTCGTTGACGGATTTTGAAGTCCCTATTAACAGTACTGGATGTCTGTTAATCTCAGGCAAATATGACGCAATTAGTTTATTGAGCTTTCAAAATGAAACAAATCCATTTGTTTGTTTTTCTGAGTCAGTATTTGTTCAGATTAATTTGCATTTTTATGCCAAGTGTAAAATTGAAAGTTGAATGTAAAGTGACGGCAATTCAAGATAATGATTTACAATAATATTTAAATCCAAACCTCTGTAAACAGTCATCCTTTAAAAAGTACTCCCTGTGACCACTCACCATGGTTTGACTGTAATATTTCAACTGTCTATCATAGACAATTAAATTAACACAAGGTAACACAGGGTAACCCAGGGGAACACAGAATAACACAGGGAAACACAGAGTAACACAAGGGAACACCACGTAACACAGGGTAACAGAGGGGAACACAGGGTAACACAGAGTAGTAACACAGGTACACACAAGGTAACAATGGGTAATACACAGTAAGACAGGGGAACACAGGGTAACACAGGGTAAAATAGGGTAACACAAACGTAACACAGGGTAACATGGGGTAACACTAGGTAACACAGGGTAACAAAGGGGTAACATAGGGTAACACAAAGGAACACAGAAGAACACAAGGGAAAAGAGGGTAACACAAGGTAACACTGGGTAACAAAGGGTAACATGAGGTAACACAGCGTAACAAAGGGTAACACGGGGTAAAACAGGGTAACACAGTGTAACATGGGGTAACACAGTGTAACAGGGTAACAAAAGGTAACATGGGGTAATACAGGGTAACACGGGGTAGTACAGGGGACAACAGGGGTAAAACAGGGTGACACAGGGTAACACAGGCTAACACAGAGTAACACAGGGTCACAAAGGCTAACACAGGGAAACATAGGGGTATCACAGGGGAACACAGGGGAACACGGAGTAACAGAGGGTCACACGGGCTAACACAGGGAAACATAGGGGTAACACAGGGGAACACAGGGTAACACGGAGTAACAGAGGGTCACACGGGCTAACACAGGGAAACATAGGGGTAACACAGGGGAACACAGGGTAGCACGGAGTAACAGAGGGTCACACGGGCTAACACAGGGAAACATAGGGGTAACACATGGGAACACAGGGTAACACGGAGTAACACACGGTCACACGGGCTAACACAGGGAAACAGAGGGGAACAGAGGGGAACACAGGGTAACACGGGGTAACACAGGGTCACACGAGCTATCACAGGGAAACATAGGGGTAACACAGGGGAACACAGGGGAACACGGAGTAACAGAGGGTAACAGAAGGTAACACAAGGGAACACAGGGTAACACAAAGTAACACAGAGTAACACAGGGGAACACAGGGGAACACGGAGTAACACATGGTCACACGGGCTAACACAGGGAAACATAGGGGTAACACAGGGGAACACAGGGTAACACGGGGTAACACAGGGTAACAAAGGGGAACACAGGGTAACACGGAGTAACAGAGGGTAACAGAAGGTAACACAAGGGAACACAGGGTAATGCAAAGTAACACAGAGTAACACAAGGGAACACAGGGTAACACAAGGCAATACAGGGTAACACACGATAACAGAAGGGAACAAAGGGGACCACAGGGTAACACAGAGGTAACACAGGGAAACAAAGGGTAACACAGGAGTAACACAGACTACCACAGGGTAACAGAGGGAAACAAAGGGTAACAGAGAGTACCACAGGAAAAAACACAGGGTTACACAGAATAACACAGCAGAACACATGGTAACACAGGGTAACACAGAGTAAAAAAGGGGTTACAAAGGGCAGGACAGGGTACCACAGAGTAAGACAGGGGAACACAGGGTAACACAGAGAAACACAGAGGAAAAGAGGAAAAAAAGGGTAAAACAGGGTAACACAGGCTAACACAGTAACACGGGGTAACACATGGTAATACAGGGTAACCCAGGGTAACACCGAGTAAGAAAGGGTAACACAAGGTAACACAGGGTAACACAGGGGAAGAAAGGGTAAAGCAGGGTAAGACAAGGTAACACAGGGTAACACGGGATAACACAGAGTAACACAGGGTAACCCAGGGGTAACACAGGGGAACACAAGATAACAAAGGGTAACACAAGGTAACACAGGGGAACACAGAGTTACACCAGGTAACACAGGGTAACACAGGGTAACACATAGGTAACACAGGGTAACACAGGGTAACAAAAGCTAACACACGGTAACACGGGGTAACGAAGGGTAAAACAAGGTAACACAGTGTAACATGGGGTAACACAGGCTAACACAGAGTAACACAGGGTAACACAGAGGAAGAAAGGGTAAAACAGGGTAACAGAGGGTAAGAAGGGTAACACAGGGTAACACGAGGTAACACAGGGAAACACAGGGGAACACAAGGTAACATAGGGTAACAAGGGTAACACAAGGTAACACAGGGTAACACCGCATAACACAGGGGAACAAAGGGTTACACAATAATATTTAACGCAGAGTAACACAAGGTAACACGGGGTAACACAGGGGAACACAGGGTAGCACAGAGTAACACAGGGGAACAAAGGGATACACAAGGTAACACAGAGTAACACAAGGTAACACAGGGGAACACAGAGTACAAGAGGGTAACACAGAGTAACAGAGAGGAAGACAGGGGAAGACAGGGGCTACACAGAGTAACACAGGGGAGCACAGAGCAACAAATGGTAACACAGGGTGACACAGAGTAATACAGGGTAACACAGCGTAACAGAGGGGAACACAGGGTAACTCAGGGTAACACAGAGTAAGACAGGGGAAGATAGGGGAACACAGGGGAACACTGGGTAACAAAGAATAACACAGGTAAACGATGATATTGTATATACATGTTGTATTATGTAAACACCTGAAACACAGATGATGGAGTTGGAGTCATAAACAAATGCTGATGGACTATTTTCTGGTAGCAGCAATTTGAAATCGAGAAGCTCTTGTTCATTAGCCTCCTGTGAAGACAGAAAAAAAATGGTACAGTCAGTGGAGTGCCCGTATTAAGCAGATTTAATTTAGGGAAAATGTAAGGGCTTTCTTTCCCCAGGAACAAAGCAAACTGTACGTTATAATGACGTGTCTGTGCAGGTGTCCATAAAATGGGGGGTTTGACCATAAATCGTAATAGGCTTTCAAAGAGTAGACAATGCAGATACAAGTTAGTGAAAAAAAGAGAAAGTTTATTGAAAAATCTTTTGTTAGACACCAAGGACACACTCCCATTAACCACTGAGATTTTTAGATTTAATACACAGTTCAAAGGTTTTAATATGAACATACTTTATACTATCATAATATTATATGTCCACTTTACTTACAGTGTACATGACAGAATATGGCAAAATACTGATACTCTCAAGGGTGGAAGGACCAGGGACTGCATCTGAGTTAAGGAGCCCTTCATGAACGAAAAAACAAAGAGACCTTTTACCATTAGTACACAGTTACTGACTTAACTAAGGACTCGAGGATGGGGTTTTAAGGGGAAATAGCCTTTGAATACAGTAATAAAAGTAAAAAGATTTATTAGATTATCATGGCTTTTGATTTTCTGATTTTCAGAGGTTTGTTTTTTTTCCTTATATAATACATTAATAAATTGCAGAAAATCCATCTGAAAAGGTCCAAAAATATAATTTTTTTTTAAACTTCATCTTGGTAGCCACTGCCACATCTGATTTTTGATACAAGGTTCCTCAATGTGTCAACCTCAGGGTAACTTTGGAATATCAATACAATAGTTATGACAAATGTCCTACTCCTTGAAATTTAAGGGGTAGGACACTGCCAAATTAGCATCAACTCACTCCTTTTTCCCTCTCTCCCTACATTAAAATGTCTTCTCCTTTCTGTCCACCTTTTGATTCTTCAATTTTTTGGGGCCATTCTGTCCCTTCCTAACCTGTTTGTTTTTCTCACCTCATTCCAAAAAGTACAATAACTTTTCCATGCAATGAACATGTGTTCACTAACAGGGTGTAAAGGGGGGGGCTACTATGCATGTATCACAGTGATTAAAATTCCGTCTTCACATTTCATGAAAATTTTCAAAGTAAAGGGAAAGTGGATGGCTAGACCTGTTCAGAATGCCGCTGTCTGTAGGGTTAATGATGAGTCATCACTTAACTGACTTTTAATAGTAAATCTTTTCTGCCCCATTCTTGCGCTTTTCACATCTTGCTTCACAACAATTTTTTCATATGTAATTACCACGCGGAATATTTCTCTTATCCCTTATGATGCTGTTGGTTGGAGAAAGCTCAGAATTTAATTTTAATCTTTAATTTCAGTAGTCAAAGGCCTCACTTGAACTATATTTTACTTTCTAACGTTTAGAGTTTAGATACAACGAAATATTCCATAAAAGTGCTAACTTGCTCCAATTTACCAACAAAGCTTCAAGCCATGTTGTTATTGTCTAATAAAAGTGAAAGCCTAGAATGTGCCAAAGTTGGTTACCATTCTTTTCTAAAGCAGAATCTATTTCAACGCTCTAAAATTATGTAACAAATTGCAAAGATCTGAATAGGGACATTCCACAAATGATAACCACATTTGCCTCGTTGGCACTTGCCAAAAGGTAGCCCTAGCTTACTATCCAAAAAAATAGGTCTAAGGGAAACTTATAAGAACTTTGACTTAGCTTGAAGGTCCAGGGGCTTCAGTGTAAAATTTTTCTTCAGTTGAAACTTACCATCTATTTTCACGAAAAAATTGGTTGAAAATCACGAATATCGGATAAAAGATTTTAAAGTTCAAGTATCACGACAAGCAAACCGTTCATATTCTACGAATTTTAATTTCATGTTATCACCTTTCACGCCAAGATTAAACACACTTTTTATCATGCAAAAACCTCTTTCACCCCCTCTACTAACTTACTTACCAAGGGTATAAAACAGCTGAGAAGTCTGAGTTCCACAGAGAGCTACAGCAGCTAATATAAGTAGTCCAGAGCTGACAAGAATGAATTAACAAAGACATTTTGAATAATGACAATAAAAACTACACCCTCTATTAAACTTTGGGAGGGAGGATGAAGCATGACATTTTTTCCAAGCTTATGATCACACTCAAAACGAAACTTCCTTTGAGTCAAGCCTACTGTTCTTCCATTTAGAAAATAATTAATGGCCTCAATAAACTTAGTTCAAGCTTAAGATTGTTAGGTCTATATTACTTTTGTTAAAGACATAACAACTAAGAATAATAAATTTCCAACATAAATTGTTCAGATAAAATTCATTAAACTGGTTGAGGGGAGTTTACAACCAATCTTTGTTTCCCTGTCTTCCTCTCCACAGTAAGCTGATATCAGACCTGCATCCTCAGAAAAATAACCCAGGACTCTGTCATTAGAGTTACCACCATAAAAACATACTAGAAGGCAATGAATATTTCCAATTCATGAGATGCACCAACTCGTTGGCAACACAGACAGAATGGGCAATTTACGATGCACTATTGCACATCTATAATGCACATACTCATCCAAGAATCTAACCAACAACTCTAGTGAAGAGCATAAGATGGTCACTTACAATAATTGCAACTATCACAGAAGAAGGCCTACTTGTCAATAAGATTAATGACAAGCCTTTCATTCCTAGCCATGAATTTATTGTAGTTGTAACTCAACAGGTACTGGATGGCCTACTCACTGCCACAAACATCTAGTTTGGCCACCCAACTAGTAGTGATTAACTCAATTTGCATGTTAGACAAGACCAACTCCATCACCTTATAACCATTCCCACAGTATATATGGAACAGTCAGCCTGTCCTTTGCCCAGTGCTGTCCAAGTATCATTCACCACAGATGTGATAATCAACAGTGCTCACAACTGCTACTCATATATTTCAGAGAATGATTCAGTTAGTTGATAGTAACAGCCCCACTGGAATGTAAGTTGCAATTGGATGGTCTACCCACCATTATCAATACCAACCCTTCCCCAGGATTTAAGGCACTCACTGATGGCCTTTGTCAAAAACAGTACAGGTTAAGAACCAAAACAAGAACCAATTTGGTGAGAGGGCAGTATAAGAAGTCAAAAGCAAGCCTCCATGCCATAATCCACAGGAGTTCCTCTAATTTTAATGTCCACATCTCCACATCTAGTCGTGTGGTCTCTGGTCTTTCTGCCAAAGAGAGGTTGATCCATCATGATCAGTTCTGCTCTACAAGGCTGAGAAGTCCTTCACATGATCGACGCCTGGGCTTGCCATAACCTCCACAGTGAGAAATTGAAGGCACTAGCTACACACTACTGCCTGGCTCTTTCATTGTCATTGGTAATTTGTAAGACATCCTACCAAAGGAATACAACTGAGGGTACCCAGGTCACTTTCAGCCATCTACCCTTGATACAGATGCCTGCTTGGATGAAAATTCATTGGCTACACCTGCACTGAGTGCATCTGCCTCACAGGAAATTCCCCAGCATGTTTAGAAACTCACTACTTAGAAAAGAATAGAATAGAATACAATGCTTTATTGAAATACCTCACTAGCAATATCGACTGAATTGCTTTCAGGTTTACAGTATATAGAAAAGAGTTATGAAACATAATTAAAAAATCTTTACATACTAACTATATCAAATCCTACAACTACGAAAATATAAAATTTTAGACTAACTATGAATTATTAAAAAATACTTGGGCATTTGTTAATAAAGGTATCACAGCACCTGTTGGTCTTGCATGGCTTCACACAGTATGATCTAGGGTTCCTGAGGTCCATGCCGGGTCCCTCATGAATGGAATGAGAGGGTGCAACAGATCAAGGGGATTGAGAACAATTTTGTTAACACGGGTTTTCTAAAGAGCACCGTGCTTCTTTGCTCTAAAGCAAGAAGGCCTGAACGTGACAGGGCATCTGAGCAGTGCACTTCATAACCAACAATTATTCCTCAGAGCCCGTTTATGTATCTGCTTAAAATTTAAGCTTAGATATTGTGGAAGACTAAAATGATAAACCTGGTAGCCATAGAGTAAAACTAACTGGATGCAACCTACATAGAACTGAACCAGTTCTTCAGGTGGTACTCTTGCACGCTTTAGTTGCGCTAAAAAATACAATCGTTTGGCAGGTTTCTTTTTTGCATTTCTGTGACATGAGAATTCCACCTAAGGTCTTAATAATAATCCATCCTCCAACACTCATGGCAACTCTAACTGAGGAGACACCTGTGCAGGCGACAGTGATGTTGCCAATCCAACTTGTGGATCAGACCAGATAAATCAATCAATCAATAACATCTCTTGACATGTCAAAAGCTTCTAACATACTAAAAGTGGTACACTAATCAGGAATGCTAAGCTCATTATGATGACTTTCTTACTCACTTTGCTTATTAAACAATAAGACACTATAACTGTGATGTTACTAAGGCTGCCATCTCATTACCAGCGACATCAAAGCTTGCTATTGTTATTTACAAGTAGTCCATGTTGTTTGTCACAGTTTCCATTGAGGATCTCCTATCAATGTGTTGTGTGTAAAGATGCTGCACTACATGAAGTACTAGCCAGCAGTACCTTAGGGGTGAGTACTGTAGCTTCTCTTGATCAGCACCTTAACTCATGTTTTAATCTGTGTACTCTTGACCTCTACCTCTGAGCAATAAAGCTTCAGTTGTGTTCTTGCTCTACTGAACCTTTCCGTGACTGGTGCAGTAAATGCATTTTGCTTCTCATGGTTGTGTAACAAGGGTTTTCATGAACAGCATTTTTTTTAGTTATTCTCACCTACTCACGGCCACATCAAGACACCAAACCATGGCATGGTTCACTGACTGTGGTTCAACCTAGCAAGGAAATACATTATAAATTCTTTTGTTCTTTTAGATGTACCCATAGAAATTTCCCAGAGGCAATTTCACCTTAACTTGGGAAGTACTGCTGTACATTTGAGTAGAGGAACAAAATTTTTGCCGAAATTTACTGTCAACTTAAATTTTTTTCATGCATTTTCAATGGGGCCTGAGTGCTAGTATGAGCCAAAAGATTTTGTCACCCAGC